CTCAACGCACACACAAACAGTGAAGACTGAAAATAATTTTATTATGATACAAGAGCAAAACTACAATGCTATAGATGAAGGCGTCAAGCATTTGCCAGGCATAATAAGCCAATAAAGCATCTTCTATTTTGACCTTACACAAGGTGCAAGAAGCCGACCACAAATAAGTTCACTTGGGAACACAAGTTAGACTGCGTTACAAGAAAACAGCTAATGTTCATAACTTTAAAGCTATCTAACATAGCCAGTTAACCATACAGCATAGAGCAGCAAATGGGCAGTCTAGAAGACACAAAGCACTTGTGGGTTATGAGTGTGCTTGTTGTCACGTCTATTATTCCAAACGAAGAAAACATTTCAAAAGAGCAATTCATTGGGGAAAATAATCATACCAACATTGACTATTATTATTAATGCCAATGTCTTGCCGGATGGATATGCTTTGTCCTGCAAAGAACATCAAGGGAGCACTCCATGACTTGGCTTGCACGGGTGTTGGCTGCATCGCACTGCTGCTGAAGAAGGCTAGCCACAGACAGGGAGATGAGGAGCCATGTTTTTGAGGCTCACCGAGCGTCACCTTTAGAGATCAACAATGCATACTTAGGTCTGGCACAATTTGTAGAAAAAAAAATAGATCACTATGCTATCGTGGTGAACACGTTCGGCTGAAACATTGATTGATTGATATGTGGGGTTTAACATCCCAAAACCACTATATGATTATGAGAACAGTCTGGGCACGCTGCCAAAGTAACACGATCCAAAACAGAATGTAGCATCTCGAAGCTTCAGTTCGTCACATCACGGTGCTCGGGCTATGGTTGTCACAAAAAGGAGAAGTGACGAGTTAATTAACAAAAACGCCAATCCTCTATATTAGTGTAAATCATCTGCTCATCTAATCATCAACAAGAGGCACTTTATTTAGGTAACCGTTTTATTGTAGTTAGAGAGGGTGAAATTTATCAAAACACCTCAGGATCCTCAGGTTATCTTGTGCTGAAATGTACCTGACTGTTTTTGTAGCGTAAGCTATACACTGGATGGAGTTGAGCAGTTTCGCGTGGCAAGAACAAAAAAAAAAAAGGACGCCCTCGTGCGACTCTACATGCCAGTGCACTCATACACTTGAAAGCGCTTGGTTGATGTCATGTTCAATCGTTAATCCATGGACCTGAGTGAGTCAGAGAGACAGCTAGAGAGAGTGTGTGTTTGTGTATATGCGTGCATACGCGCGTAAGTTTACACTTTCGTGCACGACGCCGGTTTCATTCTGCCAGCTGTCACCGGGGCAACTTTCGTCCTGCCATTGAAACGACGGCCACAGTTGGCGGATTGTACATGAAAGACGCCGGCTGCATTTGTGCTCCTTCGTTTTCATCGGCCGATTTTTCGCCGCCTCACGCGACATAGGAGACACGCGCGAGGTGACGCTGAGCACACTTGAGCTAGCAATTTTCTCGCTTTTTGCAAGCGTGGATGAGTGGCGTCGTCTGGTGTCTTCTTTCAAACTATTGCGAGAAGGAGGGAGTGGAACCGCCACTTCTAACCTGAGGACCCTGAGGTTATTTGCTAAATTTCACCCTCTCCATCTACAATAAAAGGGTTACCTAAATGAAGTGGTTCTTGTTGATGATAGTTGATCTACACTAGTATAGAGCAGTTAGAAGCTCCTAGAGCGCCATGATTTTTCTAATACATTTTATGAGAATTATGTGGACCACCTATACAGTACTTGGGATGACGTGGGACAATCCATAAGTTGGTCCACGCTGTTTCCCGTCTTGCTTTCACCATCTTTGTGTTACTGCCTAAATCATGGTAAATTAAGCTCCCACGAAGTGTTTGCTTGGGGAAATTCTTCATTTTCAGCAAGAGCATATTTCCAAATACGACGTAATCGCACGAACACACAGATTATCGAGTAGCAGCACAATCGAGCTCAGCGTCGCATTTAGTGGAGGGCGGGAGAAAGGGGGTTATGCATATTCGAAAATCATAAGGGATTATGACGGGACCCACATAAGAGGCACACATCTGAGCCCATGTTCATGTGTTCTACGAATGCATTTTCCTATACTCCAATTTCTACATCAAGTGCGACGCTGGAAAGGCTAGCGAGAATTCTTTGAATGCGATCGCACTATGTAATAAATACTATGATTCTTCTTGCATCTGAGACGTGATTTATTCTCTTCTTTCTGCTTTGTGTGTCGGAGATAAAAATGCCCCGTTACACGGCTTGACATGGTTCTAATTTCTTGATGTTTTACTTGTGCATTTCGCGATGCTCTGCAGGCGCGTTTATACTCGTCTCGCACGAGCGTTCACAACGATGAAAGCTAAGCGCGAGACACGTGAAGTCACCAATGTTTCTGGCCGTACTTCTTGCATAGCTTTCACGACGTTGCACCTGATATATGAAATGGAGCATAGGTACATCTGTCACCATAGGCGTGCACACGGTGGGGACATAGCGGGTGCACTTCCCCTTGTCCCCTAATAGTCAGTGCGCGAAGTCTGTCCCATGCTATAGTGCCTAGAATGTGCACTCATACAATGCATTGATAGAGAATGGGGGGCTGCGATTAACCATTGACTCCCCTTAGAAGGGGAACCCTCTGCACTTGTATGTCCACCAGACGACGCCAGCGTTGCTAATGGCGAATTCCATTAAGAGAGCAGGAGCACTCAAAAGCACGCATAAAGTGCCCTCTTCATAGCCGGCGTGTTTCAGTGGTCGAACAGGGGCAGGAGCACTGTCATCCATTGGTAGAGCGAGAATGCTTTTGCTGTGCCGAGAGAAGCCAGGAGCAGTTTGCAGTGCTCTCGTCTGAAAAGCGCAGGAGGTGGAGTACCATGAGTCACGTGGCTTTTGAACGTCACAGTTCCCGAATTTTTCTTCAGCCGGCGAGTGGAGCAGCAATGATAGCAACCATGTGTAGTTTGACACCTCTTTTTTGTATGGATCGATACGATGACAGCTGGACGTCTGCCGAATGCATCGTTGCGCAAACATACTATGTACTAGGACAATGGAGAACACGTGGCTGACCAATTTCACGCATATTTTCCTGCTGCCCCAGAGAGAATATATATGCCGGGGCTTGAAATATTTCAGTCACATGGTCTCCCTACTCGTCACCTCACCTGCCCTCCGGGAGCGTGGCGCCTTCCAGTGGCAGGTTCAGTGGCCCTGCTCTCAGTGCTCTGCCCCCCACTCCTAACTGCACTGCCCCTCTACTCCTATTCTCTCAATGGAATTCGCAATAAGATGGTCAATGAGAGGTAGATGTCACGTTGTGGTTACTCTAGGTTGCTTATAAAGTAAGCTATAAGGTCTAAACATGCAGTGGCTCCATAGGTATAGTTATTTGCTAAATTTCTTCATTGTATAGTATATCGAATTCGTGTAACGTAAATTGTGCACGTATTTTACCTTTTATATGCTATTCAAGATTTATTTACAGTCTGCTAGAGAAGTTGCCATTCACTACAAAAAGCAAATTATACTTCAATGGGCGATTTTCGAATGTACGATGAACACTCGCAAAAGTAGAAAAAGCTGAGGTATTACAAATATGCAAGTGTAAATAATACGCGCGTAGATACATGTGTCAACGAGAATATTGTGTACTAAAAAATCACGTGTTGCAATATTTCTCTTTTTCTTCTTCCTTCAGTGCCATATGGTTTTATTGTAAAAGAGTCATCGCAGAGTAGTGTGCCTGCGAAAATGGCGTGAGGTCTCAGGAGGGGGCCGATCAGTAAATATATAGAGCGCTTTTGAGAAGAGGCTCCATACGAAATGTTTTTTTTTTCGTTTTTTATTTTATTTTTTCTAGCAAGCACGACCATGCTGGTATTTCTAAAGAAATTGAAGCGCATAACTTTTCTTGGAGCGAAACAGTTTCAGAATCCAGTTTCCTTCATGCTTCTGCTATATAGGCAGAAATACACCTTTATGTTCTAGAAAGTCGTTGGTTTTCTTTATATTGGTTTAAAGGCACCGTTGACAAGTTTGCAATATAGGTTGCAGCAACAGTTTTTCAAAAAAAATATTGATTGATTGATTTGAGAGGTTTAACATCCCAAAACCACCATATAATTATGAGAGACGCCGTAGTGGAGGACTACGAAATTTCGATCTCCTGGAGTTCTTTAACGTGCACCCAAATCTGAGCACACAGGCCTACAACGATTCCGCCTCCATCGCAAATGCAGCCGCCACAGCCGATATTCGATCCCGCGACCTGCGGGTCTGCAGCCGAGTACCTTAGCCACTAGAACACCGCGGCGGGATTTTTTCAAAGAAAAAATAAATCGGCATATCCTACGTACCTTAATATTCGTCGTTATGCAAAGAATGCGTTGGAAAAGTGACAATCTTGCATTTTTTTATATCGTGACACGCCATGAAATGACACTAAATATATGTACAAAACTTGCACGCACAGACACACGTTGCCCATGTTTGTATAATCACTTTTTGCACTTCCGCGACGAGGAACATGAGTATTAGCAACACCAGAAGCGATATGCTGATATGAATCGCTGGTGCTCGCGAGGATGGTACCCCTGAACGCTCTTACCTAAATCGACTTCAGCGCATGGCATCTAAATACAATTGAAGTTAACCCCACGTCCCGACTGTATCGTAGTAGTATATCTATGTAATGATGATATAATTGGATAGCCAACGCGGCAACCACAATTGACGTTCCACAATTGACGTTTCCAAAATTGATGTTTTCCTATTATGGTAGGCTAATATGAACCACAAGTTTAATTAGCAATTGTCCGTTGTGGGTACGAGCCAAATGTAGAGCATCAAGCAAGCAAGCAAGCAAGCAAGCAAGCAAGCAAGCAATGTCAAGAAGAAGAAGAAGAAGAAGAAGCAGAAGCAAGCCTCTTTCGATGGTTGTCCAATCAACATCACACACCTAGGCGTATGCGCAACGAGCTCCCAAGGCGGAATTCTGTGTTATTCTGTCTAGACTCAGGAGCCCCGCATCTGCAACAGGGACCCTGGTGGCGAAGATATTCAAGAGATCGTTTTCCCTGCCTCTTTCGACGACCAAGACGGCCGCAGGCACCCTCCAGCCGGCCACGGTGATGACGACGAAGCGGTCTCTCTTATCTCAGCCATGCTGTTCCGTTTGTACCAAGCCAATGCATGGGACTACCGACGAGCTGACCTCGACGACTTCTCTGTCGGTTGCGATGGCGAGGAACCACTTCGATCCGACCCCGCCCCAGTGTAGAGGCCTCAGGCATGAGCAAGCACTTCCCCCCAATGAGGCAACGCCGAAGCAGCGCACTGTGCCCACTCGCTGTTCCCCTCTTAACAAGGGGCCACGGGACGGGACTACCAATGAGGCTTCCTCGGTTGTAACGACGAGGAACCGCCTCCCTCCGACCCCGCCCCAGCCTAAAAGCCTGGGGCGTGAGCCAACACTTCACCCCAAGGTAGCTACGCTGAAGCATCGCACTGTTCTCACAACCTCTTCCATCATCTGACGAAGGACCGAATCGGCCGTATCTTCTTGTGAGCAACCAGTGAAGGCACCGCTGATCAAGCCGCAGGTGGCTGATAAACAGGTGACTCCAGCCTTTCCACCGTTGATGCAGCACCGGCGACAACAGCCCCACCATCAAAACTTTTTGCCCACTTCGCAGTGTGGCGACAATTTGCTGCCATGACCAGGTTCAGTCAAGCCAGCGCTGGCAAAGCTAACACAGCAATGAAACCGGACAAAAAACCGGACGCTAAGACCGACTTCAAGATGCAGTAATCCACTTCCAGCTGGCGTCTTTGGTTTTTACGCTTCATAATTTGCATCTGTCCTCGGCGTACTTCATTGAATTGCGTAGACGCTTACTTGCCTTCGAAGATTTACGTATTCGTATGTTCCTATGTTTTTCTCCTATATCTGATCTTCTATCTCGTATAAATAAAGAACTTTGCATTCGCAGTCTTAAAAAAAAACCTCTGTCTGCAGCCTTATCTTAATGTATATACAGATATCAATTAGTCCCGTAAGCGCTTTTATGCGCATTGACATTCTAACGCGACAGCGTTAAAGAGCTCATTTCGAAAAAATTCCATGGTGTCCTGCATGGTTGGTGACGGTGTCGTTGGGTGTGAGCAAAAAATTATCTTGTCCATGACCAAAACATTGTGAACGATGCAAATGAAATAAGTAATAAAAATATTCGGGTCCGATAGAGATCGAAGCCAGGCCGCTTGCGGGCCAAGAAGGTGTTCTCCCGTAAATTCATAATATTTCTTGAAATTGCATAGGAAAAAAAAAACACTCCTTGATTGTCATCTAGCCGAATGGGCGTGTATAACGCGAGTAATACTGCGTGACAAAAGCGTTCTATCGCACCATGCGTCAAACTTGTGAATTGCGCATGGGTGTCTTAGATGCCCATTCATTAAAAAACACTCCGACTTATTTCATCATCATACACTGCAGCAAAACCATCTATCAGGTTAACAGCTGTGTATGTTCGCGTGTTGCCTTAACGGACGCTTATTGGCCTTTCGCGGATTCGCAAAAGGAGTAATTATCGCCTAGTGGGCACTTAACAATGGCGATTGCAGTAGCCATTAAACGATACTTTGAAACGGCCAATGTTACGCGCGCAGTCATTAGTTTCTTTGGAGCATGGTTAGGGCATGCACTGAGAACCGAAACAGGCCAACACTCGAGAAGGACTTAGATACTGGGCCCGGTTACGCGTTCTACTTTGCAAAAAAAATCTTAAGCGTCCTCCAAGTGATTTTATTTTATTTTTAGTTTGTTTCCAATATTTTAGTTTGTTTACAGCCCAGCTGTGTTAAAGGTTGGCTATCCTTTATTAGTAGAGGAAATCATGGTTGCAGTTTCATTTTTAAAATCCCGTGCCAAAATCTCCGTGCTTGACATCGGAAATTTCAAAATATATATTTTTCTGTTTCCCCACGTTGGCTCAATGAACTTATCTGAAACCTTGTTCTCTAAGCCTATGGTACCCACAGATGACAATATACTTTGTTTTTAATGATTAGAAACTACGAAGAACCCAGTGGACGCCTTCAAAATGTATGACGTCACGGTGTCTGGTGCGGGAATTTCAAGGTGGCGTCTTCAACCACCCGCTCTTTTGACGCGTTTTCGCAGTTATCAAGCGCGGCCTCACGGTAAGAGTGATGTTTTCGGGATTCTTAAATTGTACTTCACCAATTTTGCGAAAATTGTTTTTTCTGTTTAGTATCCCTTGAAACTGCTGCGCGCAGAATGACCCCACTGCCTCTCCTGTCACGCGGTGGCGTCCGACGAAAGGTGTAGGTGGGGCTCTTTTTTTCTTCTTTTAAAGACGATAGTGTGTCTTTGGGACCTTCAACGGCAAAATTTTGATCTGTCTGTCTGTAAATTTGTCTGTTTTCCACCCTAACGATACCCTAAACGGCACCGAACGGCCAACCCCATTCGCAGCGCCCACCAATATTGCCCAACGTTTAGCGTTAATAGTTGTGCGATTGTCAAATAAAAAGCAATCATTGCGCATATGTGAGGCGCCATAACAACACTTCAACGTTTTGTATGTCTGCCTTTATACTACAAAGGCACACACAAAAAACTCTACGGAATGTAGCATTTCAGCGCGCTGCGCTGCCACTGCAACGCGATGCTCAAAAAGTTGTTTCCAACGCTTTTCTACAACGTCACGGTGGTGAAACCTGCCCGTCGCTTTGCGTTCTACACCTTATCACCTCCGAGACCGGCGCGCATCTTTCTCCTTAGGTTGCACGCCTTCGTTTTCGAAGGTAACTGCCAGGTGGCGCTTGTGTATAACGTGCCTCGATGCGCTCGTTCGCCTCCGCTACACGCTCAAGGCACTCTAACGCAGCGCCTGGAGAATAGCCTTCACGGATTTTCTTGCACAGAACACCAAATAAACGTTTTGTTCACTATCTGCCAACGCAAAACTATCGTCTTTCGACTACATTTGCGGTGTAACTGCAGATTTGAAACCAATTTTTTAATATATATATATATATATATATATATATATATATATATATATATATATATATATATATATATATATATATATATATATATATATATATATATATATATATATATATATATATATGTGTGTGTGTGTGTGTGTGTGGATGGTCGTTTTTCTACAAGATGGTCTGCGACGGAAACATTTTTCAGTGCTATATGGCACACTTGATTCAAGATATCATACATCTCTGCATTTGGGCATACACTGGAATGTGCAGTCCCATTGTTACTCTTTTGACTTCAATAAAAGAGTGCAAACAACTTTCCTTTCATCAGTTGTCGAGGTATGACGCTGTGTCATGCACTAAATAAAAGAGTAATAGTGCATGCGTGACAGCTTTCTGAAACACTGGCCTATGTATGTTGATGCACATGTTCTACCAAACAAGTTGAACTGATTATTTTAGGAAACCACGTCAAAAAAGAAACAAATCGAAGGCCACGAGACAGAAAAGGATCAAAATTGAGAATCTATTGGTCGAACTTTGAGTAGTGGTTTCGTAATTTGATGATGAAAATCAAGTACAGAAGTCAGAAGTCAGGTGCAGAAGTCATTAGGAGAGCCCCGCTGTGGTGGTCTAGTTGATAAGGTACTCGTCTGCTGACCCGCAGGTCGTGGATTTGAATCCCGGCTGCGGCGGCTGCATTTCCGATGGAGGCGGAAATGTTGTAGGCCCGTGTGCTCAGATATTGGTGCACGTTAAAGAACCCAAGGTGGTCGAAATTTCCGGATCCCTCCACAACGGCGTCTGTAATAATCATATGGTGGTTTTGGACGTTAAACCCAACATATTAATCAATCAATCGAAGTCAACAGGAGAGCGTATTTACCGACATTTCCTCAATCTTTTGAGTATTAAGTACATTTCTCATATTCCAGCGTGGATTTGTAACAGTGAACCACGACCAAGTCAACCAGTGTACCACTGTGGATAAAATGTACCAGCTGTAAAATCCTCATTTTCTAAAGAGCAACTGCTAGCAGTAAGAAGAAATATTTTTAGGTTCGTTCTGCACCATTTCTCGACCCCAACTGCACGCCGACGTTCGCGAAAGAGATGTGCCGAGGCATTATTTATTTGAAGGGAGACCAACCTGTCCGTCGCTAGTTTGTGTACGCCATACTTGACCTTGGCGCGCGTTTCGGCATTCACTTGAACAGCGATGTGATGCTGAATAAAGGTAAGAGTAGCCACTCCCCATAAATAGGATCAGTTAAAGACTGAAAATGAGTAAAAAGCACTCTCTTTAGCGAACTAGTGCGCATAAATTCTACTTGCAGAAATAAGTAAACATCGAAATGCTAAAAAGGCGCTGATGTCTCAGCGTTCAGCTCCCGGCAGTTCGCGCGTACGAAATGCAAATGTTAGAGTAGCCACGCTAAAATACCCATGCAACGTTTACGTGCGAAAGCGAATTGTCTTCGAACAGCTGAGAATAGGCTGCTGTCACTGACACGCGTGTACCTCCCGACACAAATCAGCCAAATTTCTCACAGCACACGCACGTGCGAGAAACATATGCAGGTTTCGACAGCCGAACACAGCTTCGTCCGCGAATTTCGGTGAGCGTAACACCCGCAGTTCACGGGGAAGCACTAAAACGACGCACAAACACACGTTAATTGTTCTTGCGGAACGGCGCACCATAAACCGAAGTCGGAACAGGAAGCGCTCACCGGGGTTGTCTCGAATTCATGAAGCCCTAAAAACTATTCGCTGATCAAATGCATGCACATGGCACAAAAGCAGTTCAAGGTTCCGAAAACGGTTTGCGAAAACCCACTTGGTAGATGTATGCCTCCGCAAAAAGACTCTGTCGTCATGTGGTGGCGCTGTGGTGCAGTGGGTGAGGCATCTGCTTCGTGTGCATGCGGTCCTGAGTTTGATTCCAGGGCTGTGCTTTGTATGTTATTCTCGCAAATATAGGTGATTGTGATACTAATGGTGTTCTAATTGCCTGTAGTCTTAATATCCTCCGTATTCTCGGCAAGAAACCACTATGAAAAGCGTAAAACGATACTTTTTTTCCACCACCGCATCAGGGCCGGGCCGCCTACGGGCTGTCACGCCTAACCGCAGGCCGTATCTTGCGAGAAAAAATTTGACCTATAATCCCGGCTGTTCTGAAGGCCACTTCAAATCGGGCCGGTTTCGCTGAAACACGGCTACAGAGCCGCCTGGAAGCGGCGATATTTGGACTTGATTTTCTGCCTGCGGGCGTGTAGTCTAGCCAGGATTTGACTAAGAGTGTACACACAAGAGACGCATGACCCACGCCTTAAGAAGCTTCCCCCCTAGAAAGCATCAATATAAATTTTCCAGTGAAAATCTTCATATGTTGCTGTCAGCGGGAAAGAAAGAGCAGACACCCTATAGCCAACGAAGCACTTTCAAGACAGCCGACAATCAGTACTTTTATGAAAGATTAACTATCAAAACAGACAGTTCTGTGCCGATTTCACTCTTTATGGTATTCGTTCCTTAAGCCCTGTGTCACAAGAGACCTTAGTCAGGCCGAGTCAACTCTGCCATACAGAATAAGAACACGATTGGCCTCTACACCTGCATTGACAGAGTCCGCTTGTGCATTGAATGCAACGAAGTCGGAGATATTGAGCACTTCATCTGGTCGTGTAAGTGTTTTTTCTCTGTAATAAACTAATGGAGAGCTGAAAGAAAGAAGGGTTTCCCCATGGAGGCTGCGAAGTGCCTCTCTCCGGCAGGTGTGCAATTGATGCGAAAGCAAGTGACTAACATACGTTTTCTTTTTCTATAAGAGACAGGATTAAGCGATGTTTGGTGAGCCAAGCTGCATGAAAAGAGTCGCTCAGGTGGAGCGATTTCCAGCCAGGTCAGCCTAACTAATCCCGCCAGTGGTAACATCATCACCTTCCCCCCCCCCCCCTCCCAAGGGACGACCACACCCGCACTATCTGTGAAGTAGCGCAGATGGCACGCGAGCATGGCGTGTTCGTGCGTGTTCTTTTCTGTTAGGGACTCAACATTCATAGCTGGACACATCTGTTACCGTGCATCTGCGAAGCGAGCTACACTGCAGAAGTATGCTGACTGTGTGATGTTGCTCCAGGCTAAACCCCTCGTGCTTAGATTTGCGTGCAGCTCCTTTTGTACTTCATTGCGGAAGTTACTTCTACCTCACTTGTTGATATTACAACTACAACTGCATTCTTTTGAGAGTAACCAAACATTGAGAGTAACGAAAACTGAGTATAAACATAATAATAAAAGAAAACCCGGAGTTCCACTTGAAGGGCGAAACAACGCGATAGCAACATTTTAGAGAAAGGAAGACTAGCAGCCATAAATGCGATAGCAACCAACTACGAAGCAAGGCTAGTGGCAAACTACTCAAGCATTTAATGTGGCATAACTCATCGAAACATTGGTGTAATGTAACGCGGCTTCTGCAGAGTTCAAAGCTACCGGCGTGTTGCATATCACTTTAACGCAAGCCAAATGGTGACAGGCTGCAGCACGAACGAAGGCATGGGCTGTCGGTGGTCCTTGTGAAGATTAACAGAACGCTACCATGCCCATTCGAGTAGACTACGCAGTTCTGGTCAGAGTGACGCAGCCCCCTTCCACACCACCCAGGCCTCTCATGGTTCTATCGCACGACGAAAGACGGCAGGTGCGTCGATTCGCAGGACGCTGTTATCAACTCGGAATTCATGCGGAACGCCACGACGATGGCGAAAATGCGTCTGGGCTATTCATACCATCGATGTCGCAAAAAAAGATAAAAGTTTGCATTTAATTTAATGCTTCTTGTTTAGTATGTCTATAGGGAACAAGTAATTTAACGAAGTATTTCTTTCTCTTTTCTCGCTGCCTAGTAGCGGCACATCATGCATGAGGCGATACCTATGTGCTTGGAAATTGAGCTCTTGCATAACAGTTGTAACGAGCAAACATATTTGTTGTACTAATACATTGAATTGATCAGTAAATGGTATTGCTGTTTTACTCCTTTACTCACAGGTGGCGAAATTTCAAGGTCACGTTGATCAGCAGAGGGTTCCAATACTACGATTAGGAATATGCCTGCTCGACGCCTGCAGTGAGCGAGAACTGAACTCACTATTAAAAGCAGGTGAGAGGTGTTGTATGTATGTATGTATGTATGTATGTATGTATGTATGTATGTATGTATGTATGTATGTATGTATGTATGTATGTATGTATGTATGTATGTATGTATGTATGTATGTATGTATGTATGTATGATAAACACATGCATGGACGCATTTAGCCCATCGTATTTTTTCCTTCTCTAGAAGTCTTAAAGGGGTCCTGCAACATTCTTTACCTTAGTAAGAAGATGCCGCCGATCGCTCGTCAAGGCACCTGAGAACACGCGAGCCAGTACGCGACCTGGAATTCACTATTCATTTTTAAAATTAGCAAGAAATCGTTCGCTCCATTCTTTCTACAAATGATGCCATATAGCCTAATTACTGTCCCATATAGCCAAATTTACGGCCATAAGCTGACGTAGGCTACGTGGGCACGGCCAGGCTAGAGAGCGAGCGGCGCACGCTTTCATGACAGCGCGCGCCGCTCCCGCTCTAGCCCTGCCGTGGCGTGGGCAGCGTAGTTACTGTGGCCGCCGCCGGAGGCCGCCACGTGTATGCACGCACGCTCGCTATAAAACTGAAAGTAGGTCGTATGTTCGAAGGAAAAAAGAAAGTGTTCAAGGTAATGACCTGCGCCTGACGTAACTTCATTCCTCCGTGCCACCTTTCCTATACTTAGCATGTCTTTCGTGTCCTTCTTCTCTCTATGTCATCGTTTTGTTCTCACGCTATAACTATCGTCACTACTGTTTAGACGTCGTACTTTGATGCAGACAGTTACGGGGCTCACTTTTCTCTTCTTTTCCCTTTAAGAATCACATAAGACAGAAGAGAAAGCAATTACAGGGTGCGACATACCTCTGTATTGCGCTCGTACTTGGCGGATGCCAAAAATGTTCGCGGTAATCGGTTTGTGAGGCAACAGACTCTTTTAAGTGATGCCAATCAATCATTACTTAGAAAAGTGTTGCAGCGCCCTTTTAACTCACACGCGGACGACTGAAACCACTAGAATGCTGATATTGTTATTTAGACACGGAGGGGAAATTAACTGTACTCATTCGAGAACGTAAATCTACGTAATTTTGCTCTGTTTTAACTAATATTCCTCACATATTCAAACTATGTGAGAAATATGAGATACATAGGATACATAACCAGTTCTCTGTGTCTCTCCCTTCTTCCAGTGCTTCCGAGCTTTGTAGACGTGAGCATCTCGAACTGCGTCACGTCGATACCCTCTGGTATCACGAGGAAACAAATTATCATTCTGTGAGTATGTGTAGACTCCCATGTGGTGGCAACTGTATTAACACGGTTAAAGAGAAAAAATATTGATGTGTGTTCCGCTATTTCTACGTCTTCTAGATTCGACAGATCATGTCTCGGTGTCGTCGCGCTGATGGTGGTGCTCGGAACAGCAGCGGATGTGTGTTGCTCCAACAGAAAGATGGAAGGCGCTGCCAAGAGTAAGTAACAATGCTCGTTCTATTTACCCATATGTTCAATACCCGTTCCACAGATATTGGTCCACTTGTGAGGCATTCAAAAATGCAAGTTTCCAAACGAGCTCACATGTGTCCTTGTTAAATGGGGTGCACAAATGGAAAAGTTTTGACTGCACTCATGCATAAATTCCCGAGTTTTTTTTTTATGCTAGCGTTTCTTTCTCTTTTTTTTGAAACAGTAAAGCTAGATAGGGCTAGTGTTCGGTGCATTTTTCATGCGCATCAATATAAATGTGTGTGCAACATAAATGGGGCAAACGCTTCCAGCGGTGCGCCAAAAAAAATGAAGAACGCAACAGGCTGGTGGCGAACACCAATTAAGATCGTGCACCAAACATCGAGTGAATGCAGTAACTAAGCCACACAAAACTACGCATATCTATCGCCGTAAAAAGAAGTACCTTGCTCAAACAGACCACTTTCCCCTTCCCAAGTACAGAGTAGCAAACTGGAGTCTTCCCCTGATCAACCTCTCTGTATTTCATTTATGTTTCTCTCTCTCTATGTGTGTCTCTCTATCTTGAAGGTGCGTACGCTAAGTTCGAAGGTGAATTGCTGAATACGTATTTCGGATTTAGTTGCAGGATGTGCAATCAGCAGTGGTCAGAAGTTTGTTGTCGCCTGCGTGTAACGTGATAATCAGCTTCGCCGGTCATCCACCTTCACAGAGTAATTGGTACCATTAAGTTTGTAAACCAGATGTCTTTTTATAAAAAGTCACAGTTTCGCGCAAAGGCGAAGCAATGAGTATACGACAGCGACAAGTTGTAATGTCGCACGATGAACGGTAAGCAGCTCGATACTTGCAGCGCGCCGTTCAAGCGAAAACACCTGACGAAAAGAACGCACATATGCCGACCATTAACTAACAACGATCATAGCTTGATACTTGCAGCGTGCTGCTCTAACCGCTCAAAAACGAGGACGGGTAACGCAGGATGAGCACGAACTAACAACTGTCGCAGCTGTTATTTCTTCGGGTTTGAGATGTGCATCTGAAACCAAATGCTTAGATTTTTTTTTAAACGTAACAGTGTGAAAGAGCTCGTTTTGAAAAAAATCTGACTTTGGCGTCTCTGGTTGTGAGCAAAAAAACTATCACCTTATGCGTGACCGAAAATCTAGAACGATGCAAATTAAATTTTAAAAAAATCCTGGGTCAGAGTTTGGATCAAACCCGAGTCGTTTGCGTGTCGAGTGCTGAATGCTCCACCGCACGGTCACGCTTCTGCTATACAGTGAAAATAACTTCATCCGCCGGAAAGTGTAGTGAAAGTAACATGCATTATAAACACACGCGTCTTGTATACATGCTTCACAGTACAACAGAAAATATTCAAGTAAAAATGCGTGGTGAAAAGCACGCATTTCCATCGGGCGTCCGAACATGTAGTTATCATAATGACTCCGTGGTTTAAAGCCGGTCATCCACCAGAAAAGACACACTCGCTACTGCGCCTGTTCTCTTAAGGTCGCGTAATTAGTGCATACCAGGTTCGAAAAGGTTTCATGCACTAACTGTTTGAAGTATGCGCACTATAGGAACAGGATATCGCTATCAAGTACAACTCTTAAAGGGGAAGCTTTAGGGTCCCCAATTTTTGTGTCTTGAAAACTGTGGCACAAGAAGTGACTCCGTCACATCTCTTGTCACGTGGTGGAATTCTACGCATAGCTTACTCAACGTTCTACATCGCGAGTAGGCACAGAAGTAGGCGAGCTTTTAGTGCCCGTCTCACAGTCAGCTTTCAAACTGGAGCAAAATGTGGAAGCGCTGCTTTACAAAGCACGCCCGTCGCGTTTTTTTTTTTTTTTTGCGGGTGATACTGCAGACGCTGAAACGCCTCCGAGCTCTGCGTACCTTCAGATATACCTAGCTTGCCGGTGGCGCATCTTCGATTAGAGTGCCTCGATGCTCGCTCCTCCGAGCATCGGGGCGCGCGCTTCGAGGCATCCTATCTTCGAGTTGTCTACAGCGACGTGCTGCAAAGCGAGGGGTTAGTTCCAATCCCGGTGGCACGCTTTGAAAATGTTTTCTTCTAATTTAGTTTTCTTTTTAGCTTTTATTTTTAGATATGTACATGTATATATCCGAGACATGAAGGTGACGGCGACAGAAAAGACCCACTGAGAGTGTCCAAATGATTGCTATCGCAATAAAACGCTGAGTGCCCCTCGTCGCGAGATGCATCAAGCCGTATGTAATGTTATTTCTTAACCTGCTTTTTCGATTAATATTTTCACACGGATTTGCCTCAACCTAAATGCGACCACCGGGTTTAAACCCGTGACCTTCGGGTCAGCTGCCGCGTGCCTCTGTTCCACCAATGCGGACGCTCCCGTTGCACTGCCTTCATTTAAACCCGTCGCAGTGGCCCATCCTTATTTCTTTTGCTTCTCATTTTCAGACACCTTAGTGAGTGTTCTGAAGTCATTTTCTCTGGTTTCGAACACCAGAATGATGCTTCAGATAGCGACAGACAAGAGCTCCGAGGCATACAGCATGAAATTTCTGCACGGCATTCGTTTCCTGAGCATGGTCTGGGTTATTATCGGACACAGCTACGGTGCCTCTTCGGATGTGTGGGGTACGTGAGTCTCCAGCTAAATTCTCTCAGTGAGTGCTTTTGCATACGTTAAAATATAGTATAAAACGCGCGTGTTGAAATCTCTGCATTGTACCGCTCACATTACATACATATTAGGCGCCAATTTCTGTTTACCCTGCTTTTTTTTTCTTTTTAACTATGTTCCCGGTAATATATACAACAAGTAGGTGGTAATTTCTCTCTTCCCTCAAACCCTCCTTAACCTTTCCAGCATCTTTCGTAACTGATTAACTATATACTTGCCTTCTGTAGCATTTGTATTACTTTGGACGTGAGTGAAGACACTTGGCGCAGGATCGCCCGAACGTATCTGTCAATCAGGTCTCTTAATACAACGCGTACTCTTCAAAAGCATGTTGCGCTTTGCCATGATCATTATACCCTTTCGGCAATTTTTTTTCAAGAGACACCTAAATGATATTGTGAATAATTGTGCAGCAAATTGGACTATCCTTCACTGTGCTCTCATTATCCAGTGCGCCAATACACGTCATTTGTGTTTCGTGTATGCGTAACCTCAAAAAATCGATGCCACGTGAGGCATGAGAAGTGGTTAATCACTTTGCTCGAAAAATGAAATGACAATGAAGCGGAGACAAACAGAGGAAATACGTGTTTCTGTATGACCGAACTGGTATATTTCTTTAAAAGACAGGGATTACCGCAACAATAAACTTTATCTTGTGTGTAATGAAATATATATAAAAGTATGTGATTTGCCCGTTTTGGAGTAACAAGCTACTTCATGTCGGTGCTTCAGAAGGTCTTGCGCATGTGTCGCCATGGTCGTGAGTGACGTTGGCGAACACAACATGTGCTATAGGCTACCTTATAGTATAACAATGCTTAAAATTACGCTAAATGATGTTTTATAGAACATTCGATTGGTAAACCAGACATTTACAAGAATGAGAGACACAGGATGGGCGCTAACCAGTTAACTTGAGACAAAATGCCTTTGATGGATCGCATTGAAGCGTCCGACCTTTCTCTCATTCTAGTAAATGCATGGTTCGCTCTCTAATCTTCCCGATAGACTATATTACATGCACGCAAATAGTAAAAAAATGTAGGCAGACGAACTGTCGATTTGTTAGAACAACAGTGTAAAAACATAACACACGCCATAAAGAGGCCACTGTAGCACGAAGGTCGGGCGCCCATACGGTGTCAAAATTGTCCTTTATCACGTTGCCTTACACCCTCGACTCCTTCATCGTAGCAGAATTTTTGTGCTTCAAGAGGACAAACGAACATCCACGCAGCATACTATGCCTTTGTCACGTTTTCACCTTAAGAATTAATCAAACTGATATAACACAGCTTTTTTTTGTAGCACCTTGCTCAGCGCATCAATTCTGTGGCTGGAAAAAATTTAACACTATTTCTTTTTCTGCCTACACATTTCAGCCCGCATGGTGAACGTCATAATATACGTAGATCAATGGCAAAACGTAATCACAGCCCTCGGGTACATGAGCGTCGACTGTTTCTTCTTCCTCAGGTGAGTGCCACTGCGCAGTCACCACTACCTCACTATTTGACTTGACTAATCGCGACTACCTTTAACACACGGTACAAAAAATATTGTAGCACTGAGACTGCGAGAGGTGAACAGTACCTTGTTCTTACTGCTAACCCTGATTCATTATATCCTTTATCACATCAAAAAATATTTGATATGTTAGAACCAGATGGGTGCAAGCACTTGCATGTGTAAAGCTTTTAAACATTTTAATTCATTGTAATCGTCATTTCATCAATCACAACGAGTAAAAAGAACAACAAAGAAATGGCCAGCTTCCTGAAGTCCATTAGTAAAACCTCATTACAAGAAACAGTTGAGCGGCTACTCGCTAGCGTCTTTCATTCAAAAGGCTTTAATAATAATAATAATAATAATAATAATAATAATAATAATAATAATAATAATAATAATAATAATAATATATTATTATTATTATTATTATTATTATTATTATTATTATTATTATTATTATTATTATTATTATTATTATTATTATTATTATTATTATTATTATTATTATTATTATTATTATTATTATTATATTTCCATTCCCTATTAATTACACACATTGCCTGTCGGGTTTGCCACAGCTTGGTACACCTAACATCGAAGCTGGATACCTCTCGTTGGTCAGGAAATTTTGTGGCGTAAGCACAAAAGCACAGGTCAAAGGGCCCCTAATCCCCCACCCCACGCCCCAGGCGTTCACGCACTCTTCTGCAAGTAGATGCTCGCCCTCCTTGCATTTTCACCTCGGACGCTGAAGGGCATTCGAAGAGATGAACAGACGAGCAGCCGGTGAATGCAGCCAAGTGAAGGAAAGAGCGGAGCGAGGAAACACGTTTAAAGGGGCCCTAAAAGACTTTCTTGAGTAACTATGAAATTAATTCACTTGAAAAGCGTATTGCATCACAAATTCAACGCCGCAAAAATTCCAAGAGTCCGTCTAGTACGAGCGGAGTTGCAAAGAGTTGTCACACGCTGCAATCGCATTCTCTCTTCTCTCGTCCCGACGAAAGCGCTGGAAGCTTAGGAGGGAGGAATAGGAGGGGCAAACAAAAACGCCACGCGCGCATCGTAACCTTAACACTTTTTCTTGTTTTTTTTAATACGTGGCTTTTTCAGTGCGATCGTGCGCGCACGCGTGGACAAGTGACGGCCTCCGGCAGCGATCTCTGTAACGACCAAGCGCGCCATGTTCAAATCAGCCAGTCACTGATAGATGGACTTACTACGAGTGGACGTGATTCGTCGAGAGAAGAGAAAGCGATTTTTAGCTGTATTTGATAATTATTGTGAATTCCAGGCCGCATGCCGCACTATAATATTTATCTCGCGTGTTGTCGGCAGCCTCTACTACCAATCGGCAGCATTTTCTGATCATGCTCATAAGGGCCCTTTTAACTGCACTAGCGTTCGCTCAAGACTCGTGCACAAGTGAAAGACTACAGCTAAATTTCTACCTCTGAGTGCTTTAGGGGCTCTGTACAAGTCAAGGCAAATGGCATATCTTTCTTCGAAATAAGGCATACAGCACTGCAGAGTTCAGTATTCCTTCCAAAACGAAAACCACGAAACGAGCATTAAAACCGTATTTCAGTTAAGGTGCCTATGAACAATGGGAACCCCCTCCTACGTCTTCCCAGTAATATTAGGTTGCAGAAGCTTTGTACTTCACACGAGAGCTTCGAGTGACATCAAAAGGGTGCTTTCTTGTTTCCGCGTGTTTGCCACGTTCACATATAAAAGGGAGACCCATCTAGCAACCTATTCAGTTCATGCTAAGACTCCCATGGCTCGATCACGAATAAGAAAGACACCAGAACAGCGTGAATACGGTGCTCGCTGAAAGGAACGAATTCACCTTGCTGTAAGTGGTCACGGAATTAATGATGGCCTACCACAGTGACCACAAAGTCATTGTTCCTTCAATTATTTTTAAAA